GAAATCGGGTCATTCTCTCCAGTGTCACTGCGCACCTCATGCATGCTCACTGCTTTGCGAGCTTGGTCCGCCGCATGCTTCTTCAGAATGTTACCTGCTCCAGTCATTAAGCGGGTCGCTTGGCATCGGTAGAATGCACGGCTCTTCTGCTGCTGGCTGAGCACCTGGTAATTAGCGAGTTCAATCAACTGCTCCACCTCTTTATCGGGATGTTTCTGCTTCAGTTCCTTCAGAATCTTCGCCATTTCACGTCTAGCTTCATCCTCATCAAGGTCTTTGTCCTCCAGTTCCAAAGCTAGAGTTCCATCCAAGAAGTCCACTGCATGAGAGTTGAGCATCTTCCCGTCCATCTCGATATCCACCTTGGATGGCAGAGGACGGTCCCCCTCCGTTTCGATGATCATGCCACGGTGCTTGCCGGCTCGGTAGCGCTTGTAAACATACTTGTAAAACAGGAGGCGGCGGTCAGCGATCCAAGCAAAGACCACGCAAATAGGAAAGAAGAAAAGAGTGAGAAGACCCTCCCACACCTGGACGATGCCTGGTGAGATAACAGCCAAGATCAGGTAGAGCCACAAGTAGGCGAAGATGCTCCAAGTGGCGGTGACAAAGAAAACACGCAGGTGTTTCACTTTACGATGCTCTCCGTCGGGCACCACGTAGACACAGATTCCAATAATGACGAACATGTTGAAAGCTGCACTGCCGACGATGGTAGAGGGTCCGAGGTCACCAGCTTCAAAGTTATGGCCGCACACTTCAATGACTGAGAGCAGAATTTCAGGAGCAGAAGATCCCAGAGCCATGAGAGTGAGGTTGGACACAGTTTCGTTCCAGATGCGCACAGTCGTAGTGGTCGTTTCACCATTTGGTTTCTTAATGGTGATCTCCTTCTCCTGAGAGGTGATGACCTCAATGGATGCCATGAAGCGGTCAGCAATAATCGAAACTCCCAGAAACATGTATACCATTGCCACAAAGTAAACTGTGGCCCGGGCTACCTTGTCCCCAAACGAAGGGTTGGGGGGCTCCCACAATGGAAGGATGACTCCTGAGAGACATGATACTGACCCACCACAGGTCAAAGACTTGTTGGCAGGAGAACTATGATCCTGGCTGTGGTCTGGAGCATGTTCCGCTGTCACATGGTGGACGTTGTAGAGCAGTATCACCATGACGACTAGACATTGAAAGCTCAGGAAGAGGCGTGGGGAGGTCTCACGATGCCTCATCATTCCTTACTCGGCGACAAACTTCCGCTATAATAAAAAGAGAAAAGGGGGATGAGGAGAAAAATTGAGAAATAGATTAATCAACTATTGAAATGAACCCAGGACACTGATCACCCACAAGCAACGACACACGTGTTCTCAAAAACTGCTGCATTATTACGGCATGTCTGACACTGACATTATTGGAACATTTCATCACATGTGCTGAAAGGCATGTTCCCGAAATGTCAGGTAAAAAAATAAAAAATTCTGGAGCACCTAGACTTGATTATCCATTTGTCAAATTTGTTTATCAATTCAATCATCAGGTTCACTTCAACAAAATGCATCAACAAGTCCAGATGCTCTCTTAAGCCTATTGCTCAACGACATTACATTCTGCTAGTTGTTTCTCCTCTAAAAACGCTATTAGTCCAGGGCCTGTATTCACAAAACATCTTATCTTACCACTAAAAGTTCTCCTAAAAAGCAGTAAAAGTTTTTAGCTAAGAGTTTTCTCTTAAAACCTATTCACAAAGCTGCTGAGACAAACTTTTACTAAGGAATAGAGAGAAGTCTTAAGCTAAGAGTAAAGCCGGGCTCACACTGTGCGATTTTTTAAAAGTCCCTTAGGATTGTACTTGTCAGACTGTACGAACATGATGATCATGTCACACTGTGGGATCTCAGTTGTCATTAATGTCAGACTGTACGCAGTCTGAAGAAAAAACAGTCAAGACGCGTTAAAAACAGGTGCGCGCAAGAACACTTGTCCGGAGTTCTACATTATCAACCCATACACGTTCAGTGACAGCGAGCTGCATTGCACGCGGGGCTGTAATGTTGGCTATCCTTAAAAGTATATGAATGGTGGCAATACCGGCGTATTTATGCAGAATAGTGCAAGCAGCACTACACACCCACATGAAAACAGCAGCGCAACCGGTGTTTATCATAGCAAAGGCAACGAATCATATGAATTCCGTGAGCGGAGGACGAGAGCGCTGGAGTTTATGCGGTTAGAAGAAATCTCTAGCATTAATTCTGGTCATGTCTTGAAAAACGAAGACAGTTTGACGTTCGTCGTAGGAGAAGTCACACTGCAGGACTGTGAGCAAAATCTTCTGACACTGCCAGCCAGCCTTTTAATTAACAGAGTAAAATAATCATGGCTGACAGTAATACATGTAAACATAAAAAATAAAAAAAACTGGACCCATGCAAGAACAGCTGTTACTTCTTGCCCAACTGGTTAATGAAAACAAATATATGATCAAAGGAAAATTAGGAGTTGGGGTAAACTCCAAAACCAAAGGTGATGCCTTTTTAAAAGGTCATTATCATCAAATGTTTCTAAACTTGTTTACGTTCAGAGGCAGATTGCCAGCAACAGCCATTTTAGAATAGTTTGTGGCTTGGTCTTAGTGACTTAGGAGTCCTCTTCACTACTCCTAACGTTTCACAGATTTAGGAGCTAGTTTTAATGCTAAAACGCTTTGTGAAATACTGGTAGAGCAAAAATTTAGGAGTCCTAAATTTAGGACTGACACGCCCATTATTTTTAAGATTTTCCCCTAAATCGGCGAGTTGTGAGCTACTTTTAGCCCAGAGCATTTGGTTCCAAAAAAAAAAAAAAAATCCAATGAAGTTCAGGTTGGGACACTGGTGCTTGACTGCAAGCAAGCAGACCTGACTTCAAACTATGCAAAATGCATCATCAGACAAAGGGTGGCAATCGGCCCCTGAGGCAAGAAGATGAAACACTTATCATGGTGCAAAACACATGCATGGACACACACCCACAGTGTCTCAC